GCAGTGAGCGCCTGACCAACACGTGTGAGGCCTTAAATTCGACCCCAGGCACTGGAAGAAAATACAAGAAAGCAACAATTGCAGTAAGGATGCAGAACTCTTGCGTACATCTGGGGACTGTAAATTGCTATAGCCATTGTGGAAAACAGTATGAAAGGTCCCCAGAAATTTAAAAATAGAACTGCAATGAAACAAAACCAGGTATGAAGAGGTATCTGCCTTCTCATGTTCACTGCAACACTATTCGCAATAGCAAAAACGTGGAAAGAACCTCAGCGTCCACTGACAGATAAATGAATAAAGAAAATGTCAGAGAGAAAGAGAGAGAAGAAAAATCTTGTCATTTGCAAAAATATATATGAAACCTGAAGGAATTACTGAGTGAAATGACTCAGACCAATGAAATAGTCTATGATCTTACCAACACATGTGCAATCTAAAAAGTCAGATTCACAGAAAGAGTGGAATAATGGTTGTCTTAATTAAGCTGGGATCAAATAGAATGTGGATGCAAAATACTAAACAAGCCCAAGAAAGTCCTCACATCCATAATATATGGAGAATCTGCAAAGCAAAAGACCTACCTGAGGAAAATTTGAGCAAAAAGACTTGAAGACATGTTTCAGTTTCCTTTTACAAAAACAACAGAAATTTATTATCTTATGGGTCTGTAGCCTAAACATCAGCATTACTTCACTGGTGCCAAGGTGTCAGCATGGCTGTGGTGCTTGTGGAGTTTCGGGGTGAAATCCATTTCTGTGTCTTTCAGAGCTGTAAAGGACAGGGTGGCTTTCTTGGTTCATGGGCTGGTCTTCTGTCTTCAGTCCCAGTGACACTGGCTGGGTCCTTCTTGCACTGCCACCCCTGCTTCTCTCTTCTGATTTCTCCTTCCACTCTTAGAGCCTTTGTGATTACACTAGGCTCACCTAGGTAATACAGGATAATCTGTTTTACATTCTGTTGGTTGCAAACCTTAATTTCACATGCAGTCTTAATTCTCCTTTGCCATGTAACCTGACATAGTCACAGGTCTGGGAAGTAGGACACAGATGTCTTTGGGAGCATATTTTTTTCAAGTACTATGAAACATATTACAAAAGAAAACATACAAATAGCCAATAAAAATATAAGGACGTGTTCAACCTCATTAGTCATTAGGGAAATATAAACAAATGATAATGACATACCACTGTACATTAGCATGGCTAACATTAAAAAGTCCACCAAAGATACAGAATAACAGAAACTCTTATATATTGAGGGTGGGATTTTTAAAATTGCACAACCATTCGAAAAAGTAGCAGTATTTACTAAAGCTGAAAATATAAATAACTTTATAGCCAGCACACACCCTCAGTATATGCTCAAGAGACAAGCTTATACACAGGTATTTCAAGGCATCAATAATTTTAACAGCCACAAACTGGAAACAAGCCAAATGCCTATGCAAAGTGGAATGGGTGAGAAATAATTGTGGTAGACTCATTCCTTACGAGACATTTCACAGCTATAAGGAAGAACGAACTTCCACTACACAGAGCAGCATAGATGAACTCCATAAACATAGTGTTGAATGAATGAAGCCAGTCACAAAAAGGAGAATATTATAGAATTTTATTTTCATTTATAAACAGTCCAAAAGCAGAAACTAAAGTATTAAAATAGAAATCAGAATAGCAGTTACTTCTGGATCTAGCATACCTGAAAGAAGGCATGCGTGAAGTTTTTGGGGTATGGTAATATTGTTTTGTTAAAATATACTTACGATTTTAAAAATATTTTAACATTATATTTCAACAAAATTTCCAATAAATCTATTTAAATAATGTATGTTCTTTGTGTCAAAACCTTGGGATCTTCTTTAGCTGCCAAAGATGTAATAAAAACAGATTCCTGATTAAACTGACAATTCCTTTCCTAACAAATCTCACAATGGACACACACTTCCTGTCAGAAGAGCCCAAATGCCAAAAGGCAAGAGGTTAAAACGAATTAGAATTTAGCTATTCTTGAATCACACGAAAATGTTACAGACTCCAGAGACTATTCTTATATTTGGACTTTTTTCAGTGACCTAAAGGTAGTCATATGAAATTAGTTAAATAACATTACATTCAACCTTTTAAAATGTGGAGTTCTGCCTTTTTATAAGAAATTGGCATTTTCATCATGAAGGATGTACACAACCTCCTTGACATGGTGATTCTGCCCTGAAATCATTTCAGGGTTTTTTTTGTTGCTGTTGTTAGTTTCTTTTTTTTTTTTTTTTTTTTAAACAACATGCTTACCAACAGCCCAGCCATGATCTGCAGACAGAAAAAGAACAGCAGCGCGGTGTGCCCATCTGGGAAAAAAAAGGGAATCTCAAGCTGCAGAAACAGGAACCAAAAGCACTGTAATGAGAATTCCTACAGTAACATAAGCAAGCCCATTTCCTCTTTCGTGTTTGGTTTTGGACTGTTTTTATAGTATCACAAATGAGTATGGTAACAATAATAGTAAATAATGGTTCTCATTCTGTAGAACTCCCTATTTCTAACGAACTTCCATATTGACAGGCCTGGAAAACTGGGTCTTTTGAGTCAGATCTGCCTTGGTTCGAGTTCTAGTCAGCTTCTTACAAGTCCTCCCACTCTGAGTGAGTTTCTCAACTGTGCTTCACTTATCTCATGTGTACACCGAGGGTCAGAATTTCCCAGGCTCTGAGAGGACTACCCGAGAACGCACCTAAAGCCACGCCGACAGCTCATACTGCCTGTGCAACGGAGATGATCAGGTAAAGACCACGCGCATGGTGAGCCCTTGACCCGTGGCAGTGCTGGGTGTGATCGTCTCCTTTGGCTTGTGCAGCGCTCTGTTAGGGCTATATAGGCACCAAAATGTCTCCCCACAGTAGGCACTCAGTAAAGGCTTGTTAGTGAGTGAATGAACTCATAGTGGATGGATGTGAAAGGAAATAAGGCGTGAATGCATTGTCCCAGAAGTCTGCGAAAAGCGAGCCTTAGGGTTATCCAGGGTCCCACTGCTGCTAATTAGCAAAGTCGGGTTGCAAACCCGGTTTTTCTTACTGTAAACCCAATGCTCCTCCTTCGTTTCTAGCCGTGCTCACGGCGACATGCATTTGCCTTGCTCGATGTTGGCACTTCATCTTCATTTTGCATGTGCAATTTGTCCCGAGTTAGGAAGTGTCTGGAATCAGCTCAGGAAGGAACTCAGTAAGCAAGTTTCATGCTTATGCTGATAGTATGTGATATTTTAAATATTCCTAAACTATGATAAAACGTAGAAGTACTGAATTTATATAGTATGTATGTTTAATACAAAATAAAAATATCACCAGAGAAAGTATTGAGCAAATAAATCCTCTTTGGGTCTTTACATTTTTTTCTTGAAGCTATAGCCCTAGAAAATTAAACACAGAGAGATAAATGTCTTTCCCAAAGGTGTTATGATAATTCCAAAGCAGCATGTTAGGTCATTTAACCAAGGGTTAGAGAATTTCTTCTACTAGCCAATGTCTGAGGTGTCCACACGCCTTGTCTTTGCTGATGGAAAGGCACTCATTGTGGCAAGCATGTTGCCAAAGTTACGTGCATGTCCGTAGAATCATAAAATTGCATTTGAAAATATCAATATTTTACCCGGTACAGTATGTGCACAAGGGAAACGATCCAGAACTGGAAAGCAAATGAGGTTTTTTCTTTTGTCTTTTTTTAGTAGTGGAGATTGAACCCAGGGTCTTCACGCTGGGCTACATTCCCAGCCCTTTTTTATATTTTATTTCGGGGCAGGGTCTTGCTAAACTGCCCTGTTGGCTAGACTCAGCTCAGTTTCAGTCCTGCTACCCAGCCTCCCAGACTGCTGGCATTTTAGGTGCACGCCACCACACAGATAAGCTTCTGAGTGCAAAGAATTTTAAATAGCGAGAACATACAAGTAGAACAAGAAGTTCCTGGAAATAAGTTCATCCAGGTTAAAGACTAGTGTATCAGAAAAAAGGGCCCAGACTCAAGTGGCCCCTGCCGTTCCCCAGGAGCTGTGGTGAGAAGCCCCTGCTCTGGCGACCTGCTCGGAGAGGTCATCCTGTGCTGCACACCAGCAGGCACCCTCCTGGCAGCAGCTAAGTGATGCCCATCTCCCTTTTGTAAGTGGAAAGAAAATGGACTGGGAGCCCCTGAGGGACAGAACACGCTTCAGTGATTTATAAATTGCACAGTAATTGAAGTTTCTAGAAATACTGCGGCAAAAAGAACACCAGACTAGGAGACAGTTTCTGCAGAATGACGCAGTACAGACTTTGGAGCACTTCAAAAGTGCCGTTATTCTCATTACCGCTAATGTTTGTCTCTCGGTGACATTTAAACGATTGTTATTAATATGTACATGAATGTATACAAAATCTATTGATTTCTTCACATTCACATCCAATAATCTTACTGCTTTAAATACTCTTTCCACTAGACTTAAGATGTATCTAAAATCCTTAAAAGTTTTAAAACACCTTGGTTTTCAGCCACAAGGAAATTCATGTCTTCGGATGAGGAATGTTCTAACCCTCACCCTGAGTCACTGCTGCTTCCATCTTCTCTCCCTGATGCTGGATTATTCCTTCGGTCTCAGGCTAATGTCATTCCTGCTGGACTGTGCAGCTTGCTACCCCTGGTCCCCCACATCATCCCTGGGACAGCTCTGGGCTGAGGGCCATTGCCGCACATTTGCCTAGCAACTACTTGTTAACATGGCTACCCCATTGCAGAACTTTGCATGCTTTACTGAAATTGCTTTTTTCATCATCTCCCTGGATAAATCAGAGGGTTCCACAGGGGAAGTTCTGTCTATCCCATTCAACACTTTACATCAACCTCCTAGCATTAGGTCGTGTAAAAGCACCTAAAGGCTCACTGTTGAACAGACAGATGACTGAATGAAGAATGAATGATGAGTGATGAATGAATGAGTGAGTTAAGTCTGAATGGCATAAGTAATTTGCTACTTTCCTGCCTGGGATATTCCCTCTAATTACACTTCCCCTGAAAACATCAGCTCATCTCTTCCGGCCCACGGTGGTTGTTTTTGTTCTTGTCTTTGTTTTTCGTTCTTCCCTCCGCTCATACTTACCCAGCCTGTGTTAGGGGCTCCTTCGATGTACTCCCCCAGGCCCTTCCACATCCTCTGTGGCAGTGTCTTGTTTATATTTCTGGAGTTCTGGTCAATATGTAGTATCTCCCTCTAGATAATAAGCATCCCATAAACTATGTCTATTCAGATTAGCATTTTATCCTAACACAGAGTAAAATTTTAATATTTATTTGTTGAATATGAATTAATTAAATTGGTTGATTATCTTTAAAAACCTAAACAATGGAATGGGCAGCATTGTTTTGGCACTGCCTTCTTACCTCTTTCCGCCAGGCAGCCAGTGACTCAGGAAAATGTCAGTGTTCTGAATCTGGACGCTGATCCTCTTTCTCTCCCATTATTTTCTAAATCATTCACAGATTATCCTCTGCATTGTAAACTATCAAAAATTGAAAGAGATGTTTTCTTTCATGAGTTTTTATTCTGATTATAGAGACCTCTCAGGCCTTCTGTCAGCAATGGCTCAAAGTTGGCACTTGAAGTTTCAAGACTTCAAAGACTGTATCTCAAGCTCTGACTCATCCTCTTCCTAAAAGTTACTGGTCGTATCCACACACGGGCTGGAATGTGAGACTCCGTCTCCTTCTGTCTCTCTTCAGGACGCCTGTTCCTTTCTTCCTTACACACGGAGCTTGCTCGTTTTCATCGAGTCATCCCTGCCTGGTGAATTTATGCGGCTATGCCTTTCAGGAAGGAATATGCCTGCCAGTTGGTGGGGTCTTCAGGTCCTGTATCACTGAGGTGAAGAAAACATTACTCAGCTTGAGCACATCAGTTGGCATCCCAGTCTTTCAAACATCATGTCATAGCTACAGGCACCTGGGCTTAAACTACTTAGTGACTACATATCCGTCGTGAATGGGTTACGTGGCACCTTTGAAAAACAGGGGGAAAGGAGCAATCAGTGCAATCAGGCACCATTCTGGAGGTGCTCTGCAAGGTGCACATTGACAACAGGCCAGCTGTCTCATCTCTGGTATCTAAAAGGTCATATATCTCTGCACCAAATGTCTATGCTGATTCGCTTTGTCCTAGTCATTTGCCTGTATATTTTAGATACACTCATTCATTGCTCCTCGTCTTCCTGAGATCACAGTGAAACACATTTCCTAGACTCCTTCGTACACAGTCTGTCTCAGAAGCTGTTTTCTCTGTAGGTCTGGAGAAGCTGGGTCCTACTAGATAGTCCCTCCCTGTTCTGGGCCCATCTCCTATGAAGCAACACTTCTGGATTCTGATAATTTCCCAAATAAAGGTGAGATTAATAGAAATCCTTAAAATACTCTCATACTACAGCAAAGGCAAAAAAGAAAAAAAAATCCACAATATGCAGAAGCCTTAAGGGCTATTTCTTGCCCATTCTTAAGGTTTTTCTTCCTTATCTTTTCCAGAATTACCACTCTTTTCACAAGGTCCTGCCTGGAGTGTTAGCGAAACAATCCCATGCTCTAAAATCCCTTCCCCACCCCTCTGAAGACGACAGGAACCCTAGGGCTGGACCTAAGAAGACATGAAGGCAAAGAACAAGGAAGACACTGAGACCTTCTAATGTAACCTAGGCAAGTGGGATGGTATCATTTGAAAAGAAGCACCACTAAGCTGGTTTCTCTGCACTCTGGGATCTAGAGTTTTCTCTGTGCTTATCTACTGAGTCCACCAATGCCATATGTCTTCCATGAAAACTATTGGAAAATATTTCTTTTAATTCCAGTACTTCTATTAAAATAAGCTTAGGTAAGAATTTCCTAACCGTTAGTATCAGCTATTAAATAATGGGAGTTTCTATGATATACAGAAATTTCCTCGATTGCATCACAGAGATATGAGCCTTGTTCTGAATGCCTCTAATGATGTGGGGCCCATCTGCTCCCAAGGCACCACATTTTATTGCTAGGCAGTGCTCATATTTGAAAGAACTTTTGTAGATTGAACTGAATTTGCTTTCAACTTCCAAAGAAATTATATTCTTGGCAATCTATTTACTATTAAATAAAGTGTTATCCTTTAAGGTATCATAACTTTGGGATATTTTCACAGGCCCTCTCTTCAAATATCTGCTTATAAGCAATAGAACAATTAATTTTCTTTTTCTGCAAGTAAATTGGGGTGGTTTAGAAGAAATTTTTAAGTGTTTGGATATTAAAATCCGTATGAAAAATATATGTGATAGTAAATCTTGATTGCCGACTTAAGTGGCTTGAGAAACACCTAGGAGATAGATTTGATTCTCTCTGGGTGGGTCACGGTGGTGTGACCTTGGGATTATAGCTGACCCCGGCCCTTGCCTTCCTGTCTTCCTGCTCTCTACTTCCTGGCTGCTGTGAACTGAGCAGCCTTCTTCTACCACACCCTTCTGTCCTGCTGTTTCTGCCTTGGAGCCAGTCACCCATCGCTGAAACCTCTAAAACTGTGAGCCAAAATAAAGCTTTCCTCCTTCAAGGTGTGCATGTAAAGTATTCTGTCCAGGCAAAGGATATGCTGACCAATGCAACATATGAACGTTAGTAGGGCCACATGTGCCTTCTTCTCATCTACATGCAAACATACATACACAGCTAAACATCTACACAGAAGAATTAGCAAGGCTTGATTCTTCCACATCCATGTAAATGACTGAGGTTTTCACCACCACTTTCCATGAGAGGTAGCCAGAAAAAAAAGCCCAAGGCGATCGTAAGTAGAAGATGAGGGAAAGGAAAGGTAAAAAGGAAAGCACTGCGACTGTGAGGCTCTTCTGTGTCAACATCGCTGCCATTGGGCTGGGGAGTCCCTTCAAAAGTCAAAAGATTGCCTTGGTTCATGAAAGCCACAAGATGTGAAGGAGAACTTAAGGCTAAACAAGGCCAGATTCTGGCCCTTACAAGAGTCTTGATCTTGTAAGAAAATAACAATAAAGAATTCCACTAACACTGAACATACCACCACTGGTCACTTTCATCACTGTTACCACACAGTGGCCCTTAGCTGAGTGGTCAGAAGCAAAGATTTCTGGGTCAAAGCCTGGCTCCACCACAGAACTGCCCCATCCTCTCACAAAAGAGAACTACCATCCACATTCTGCTAATCAAGCTATAGCTCCTAAAGAGGGGATACACTTGCAAGCTGACTATAGATGTGGGCTGTGAATCTTAGCAGCCACTGTGGAGAATGGGATGGAAAATGTGACTCGATACCCCACTCCTGGTTATATATCTAGAGCCCATGCTTGTTGTGGTACTGTAAAAGCTAAGATACAGAATCGTCTGGGTATCCATTAACAGGTGTGCAGTGATGCATGATTTAGACATAAAAGAAAACTAAAGACCATCCCTTGCACCAAAATGGATAGGACTGGAGGACATCATGTTAAGTAAAATAAACCAGATACAGAAAGATATGTACCCTATGCAGACACTTAACCAAAAAAGTCAAACTGCTGGTAGAATAGTGATCACTAGGAACTGGGAAGAGTGCTGAGCTGGAGGTCAGGGGAAGATGGGAGATGGGTGGCTGGATATGATCAATGCATGCTGTATATATGTATGGAAATATCACACCGAGTCCCATTAATTTATGTACCAAAAATGTGTAATAAATATACACACACCTAGAGAGAGAGAGTGCATCAGATGAGTGACTTTTAAACTATACGAATATTGTTTTAAACATTTTTCACAAACTTATAAAAGCCTTGAATTTTCCTGAATCTTCAAACTCATATAACTTTTAGAAATTCAGTATCTACCTGAAACCCACAACATAAGGGTCAAAAACCTGACCTCTCAAGTTTCAAGATTAAGATGATCAATCAGCTGTCTCTATTTGCCTCAGAACAAGACGTTTCTCGGTGCTAAAAGCAGGACAAACTGGGCAAAACAGGACAGTTGGCCAGCTTATCAAGAATACCTCTTGACTTTGCAGCAGTTTGGAGCCCCTTCTGTATACTGATCCACACCTCCCACTCAACAGTGTATGTGAGAGAACCAGGGAACCCACTCAGATACACTCAGAAATAAACCAACTTATCAAATACGGGGAAATGGAAGAGAGAGTAATGCAGGTGCCAGGGGACACCTCAGAAGGAACATTTACTGCCAGAGCAACTCCCACACATGCAGGAGAGGCCCTTACTGCAGGAATTGATTGATGCCGTGACATTCCCTTAGCTTCAATATGAATGCACTCCATTTTTACAAAGCTGCAACCTTCTTCTCTAACAGGAAAATACAATAATAAATTACTGAAAAGTTAAGTATATATCATTCTAAGGCAGGTTTGAAATACACCTACTTTGTGTCCAGAGAACACCACCAAGGCAAATTAAATTAATGTCAAAAAGGAATGTATATATATTTATTCCTTCAGCAAAATATATACTGAGGGCCTACTACATACAAGGCTGACTGCAGGGCTCCAGGGATGCTAGAGATGTGAAGAACTTGGTTCTTATCTGTTAGGTATCTTATTTGAATCCCCTACTGTATTCAGAATATCTGCTTCCTAGTTTGGGGCTGCTCCAACCTATACAGACTTTTTCTCCAGGGGTCGGGCCATGCACAAAAACACTCTGTAATTCAGTCGCCTCATTTACCACTGCTCCCTTAAGAAGAAACTATAACCAATAAACTTTAATGCATCCAGCTTACATTTTCTTCCTTGGGAGGATATTTCTGTCTACCAGTGGAGCTTAGGCATTGGGTAAGACAGATATATTAAAGAAAAATGAACGTGGAAATCCCAGAAAAAGAAAATTACTGTTTTAACTATTACCTAGCACTTCTCCTATTGAATCAGCACCGAAATCATCTTTTCCTTTCTAACTCATTATCATTACCTTGGCTGTAAAGTTTTTACACCTTTACGCTGCACCTGAGCTAGCACCACCCCCATCAGAACAGGTAGAGAACCGCACAGGTGGACCCAGCACTGCTGATCAGGATAACACATTCCTACCCATTATCTGACATGAGGCCCCTTTCAGCTAAACTCAGACGCCACTCCATTGTTTTAGCTGATGATGCCTGACAGGGAGATGACGGATTCAAGTGACAGAAGGGGTTTCAATAGAGAGACAAGCCTGTTTAAACTGAGGCCTGTCTGCTCCAGTAAATCTCTGGTTTTATCGGCCAAGTGCAACTGGCTCATTTCGAGGAGATCGGTGGCAGTCCATCTCTTTAGAGCCCCTTGTCAGGGGAGCCTCGGGTGCCTCAGTACGCCAGGTCTGATATGAGTCAAGCCCGGTGTGAACAGGGATTAACCCATAAGATTGCGTGAGACTCCCTTTAAGTGTATTCCAAGCGGAGACAGGAGAAACTATAAACTCGATTAAACTAGGTAAACTTCCCCGTGTTCCTCTGCAGCATGCATCTCATTTGCATTCCTTCAGCAGTCTGAATAAACATGACCGTTGACCTGGCAGCTCTAGCTGAGAGAGCCTAGCGCCTGCGTGGCGCGCGGAGGAATAATTTCTGCGTCGTCGTGGCAAAACTGGACAGCCTGTCAGAAACATGAAAACCCTTTTGAAATCTGCACGTCTGTGTGAAGGTATAAAATATTCATACCTCAGATTAAAATATTTTATTGAATTAATATTGATTTACTATTAATTTTTAAATAGATTCATATTTCATGAGGCACTCCTGATGAACCCACCAATTGGGCCTCCGTGAGCGAAACCAATTACACAAATCATTAAGGAAGCGACTAAGGAAGCAACTCGTAACGCCTGAGGAGAGACAAAAAGAATGTGAAAATAAACAGTGTTTATAGAAGGCTGAAAAAATAATACAGCACCCTGCTCACTTCCTGCAGTTTTCTTCTCTCAGTGTACGCCAGTGAGTGGATCATCCCTGGGCCCTTCTTGTTGTTGTTTTCTTTGTTCTTTTTTTAAAGAGATCTACGTTTGGCCTCATGTTGGAAAACTTCACTGTGGCGACATTTACGTCTTCAAAATTGCAATTAATTCTTTCCTTCCAAGAGGAACATGTAATAATCATAGCTCCTGAGAAGCGAAGCTTCACAGAGTTCCTCCTTGCAGGGCTGGGAAGAGCCGTTCAGCAAAGTGCTGGCAGCTGAAAACAAAAGAAATTGATTGCTGCGCTCAATTAGCATCTTCAGACGCAGAGCGCTGGCTGGAAGGAGGGCTCCCAAACGCATTCGCACTGGCTCCGTTTCGACCAGAGTTCAAAAGATGGACTCTTTCCCCCTCCGCTCCTCGGTCTTACTTTCTGTAACCATACCTGCGCTTTCCTCTGAAGACTCGTACTGCCATCGTTGTGCTGAGTTCCCTTTGAGTGGGAAAAGGTTTTCTAATGTATAGGACGAGTATTTGCAGCCCAGGCAACAGACTGAGTTCCCCTTTATTCATCCTCCTCCTCTCTTTATATCTCGTTCGTGCTTTCCCTTTCTTGCGCAACCATTCTAAATTGGGCCACCCTTGCTCAGTTTATTGCAGTCGCCCCTTTTTTTGCAGAAAACGCTAATACGTACAGTTACAGGACGATATAAGGATCATTCTTCACTTTGTGCCACTTTTTACTGTGTGCAAAGATTTTAAAAGGCATGGGAAATCCGCAGGAGATGCTACACTGGGTCAGAAGAGCCACATGGGGCTAAGATGATGCCCAGGGTCTCCTAATTAGATAAAGCCACTGTTTAGATTCAGACAATACCTGTTTACAGTTCAATAAACAACTTGTCACAGTTGCTTGCTCAAAGCAGACCTAGATGTCAATGCAAACAGTTAGTACAGAGGTAGTGAAATAAATTGGTCTCCTGAGTAAATAAATTGAGCAGCAATGTGAAACTGCCTCATCAGTACTAGGAAGATAATCATTTATAAAGGTTTGAAATGGCGTTTCATAAGTATTGACATTTAGAGAAATGCCTTCCCCCATCTAAATGACTACCCTCCCTTTTCCTATTTTCACCAGTCACTAAAAAAAGAAAAGTAATAACAAAACAGAAAGAGAGAATAAAGTATTTCGGAAGTCATCCCATCAAAGTTTTGTAGTGCTTTGCATACGATGTAATAAACCTCCAAAAGATGACTAATTTCTAATATAAACTGTAGATAAGTACAGCCCCTGCCTTCAAGGATTTTCCATTCTGTCATCATAGATGGAGCCAGACAAGAGGAGAAGTGCAGAGGTCATTTGGCCCAGTGCCCGGGTTTCTTGGCTATTTCTTCATGATCGGTGATAAAAGGGAATCCATGGAAGAAAGGACAGAGCAGAAGTGCATTCTTGGAAACAGTCATCAGGAAGGTCATGCCAGGGTGGTGGGAATAAGCAGTGAGGTGACACCACTGGGTCCTTGTCTAATAAGGTGAAGACTGCACACACAGGCATTCCTCTCCCAGAGCCCTTTGACAGAAAGGTCTGCTCTGGGAGATGGAGTTTACAAACAACTGAATGAAAGGATTTTATAACAGTAGTGCACACCCATAGAGAAGTCATAGAGTCCCCCCAGAGACTGCCATGTATGTGCAAACGCCCGCAAGCACCATGCCAGTTCTTGGATGCAGTAAGAGAAGAAGGCATCAGCATTTACTCCCTGCCACTTAATTCCTCACTGTAGGACACAGCGTACACCAGCATATCCAAGAGCCAGGAGGGGTAATCCAATCAGCACTCAACCAAGGGAGTGGGCATTACCTGGGGGTGGGAACTAGGAGTTAATGTTATGTACTTTTTTCCCCCAATACCCGGAATCGAACTCACAACCTTGCGCTTGTCAGGCAGGTGCTGTGCCACTGAGCTAAACCTCCAGCCCCCAATGTTGTCTACTTAATAGATAGCAAAAATCTTATCCCACAACATTCTTTTCTCTTACTTTCCTTAAATCCCACCTTTATGCTCCACCCCTCAGAGCCTAAGGCAAGGAGATAAGGTCCCCAACGTGGTAGCAGACAAGCTCGTACTTTTCTAAGAACTCCCTTTACTGGCTCATGATGCAAAGCTTCCTGAATTCTGCCACTATAGATAACATTTATTTCCCTTTAACATGGAATTTCAAAACTTGGAGTAGTTTACAGCCACTGAAGCTTATTTGTAAAGCAAGGAAACAAAATGGGAGTGCAGTCAATACTATTATAAACCCCAATGATCCTTTCTCAAGATGAATATTTAACATCTGCCCGTGTAACTCAGACTCCTTGTATCCCTAGCTCTAAAACCATACCTGCATTTTCAAAGGGAGTGCGCAAGCAGACTGTAAGATTTCTTTCACTGGCATTTATGTTGTGGTCACAGGCCTGAGAGCACATAATGCCAGGATTACTGCTGACCTGCCCTCTGTGGAAATCTGAGCTCAGCGGTGTCTTTATAAAATGTTAGCTTTCAAGGCTACTCTAGACAAAATTGGCAGTGGATGTAGTTTTTCACCTCTATTCCCAGCTTCCATGTTCAGGGACAAAATCTCATTTACTCCACACCTCTCAGAAGGAGTTGGTGCTTTCAATCTTCTCCCCTTTGAGATGCCTGTCTGGGGAGGCTCCACAATGCACAGAGAAAAGAGAAGCATTGTCCAAAAAGACTCAAGTTCTAGTCCCACGTCTTATAGACTGGGTAACCTGGCCTGAGCCACTTAACCTCTTCGGCTCACATTCCTCCTGGGATAAACAGGGATAATAAAAGGAGTTACTTCCTGTCTTAGTTACTTTCTTGTCCATGAGGCACAAAACTCAACAACACCCTCAACTGTATGGAAAAAATATTTATTTTGGCTCACAGACTGTGCAGGTTTCAGTCCAAGTTCAGCTGGCTCCAAGGCAGAGCAGCATGTCAGAAGTTAATGACAGTGGAGAAACCACTCATGAATGGTAGTGGGAAGGAGAAAGAGGGAAAAGTCAAGGGAGGAAAGAAGGAGATGGACCCTTCCAGGCCACGACCCACCTCAGACCAGTGTTATGCTCTGGGTGTCCCCCCAAAGCCTCATGGGCTCATGGGGTGGTCATGGGGCGGGCTTTCAGAGTTTGATTGATTATGGGTGTGAGAGCTACACCCACCTTGGGGCAGATAGTTTTGCATATGTAAGGGAGAGAAAGACGCTGATTGCCTCCATTCCTCCCTTTAGCTCTTGTTGCTTTTGCGGTGTTCCACCACCATGAACTCTTGCCCTCTGCCATGTGCCACTCTGCCTTGGAGCCATCCAAGTATGGACTGAAACCTCCACAAACTGTGAGCTAAATAAACCTTTCCTCCCTCAATTTTGGGATTCAGGTATTTTGTCTCAGCAATGAGAGAAAAGTAAGACAGCCAGGCTTCTCCGCCAGCATCACGTTTAGCTATAATCTAGTCAGTGCACTAATCATGCCCCTGTGGTCCAATCACCTTCCAAAGCCTCACCTATGAATGCGTGAAGTTCTGGGGGGATGCCTAGATATAAACTGTAATAGTTCCCAAGGGTAGTACACATGTCAGAGTTACAAACAAAATGCTTTGCAACTGAAAGGGCCAATCAGATGCTATCTTTTCAGTGATCATTCACTTACTTAAAAATTAGCCAACATGGACTATGTTTGGTGCTGGTTTCAGTGGTGAATAACACAAGGTCTCTGTCTTCAGACACAGCCTGACAAGAGAATAACATGGACAGAATATTATCCATAGCCTTAGATTAGAACCATAATGGAGACATTAATCAAGTGTTATTGAGCCACTGATATGGGAGGAACTGATTCTTTTGGAGGCATGGCATGGAAGTTATGTTATTATTAAAATATATATAATGGTAAAATACTAAGCCATACCATTTAGTAGTGGGATATAGATTTTCTAAATTTTAATTAATTTTTTATTAGTACATGTTTGCAGTATATAATGCTTACATTCCTGTGGGAAGTGTTATGTGTACATAACATGTCTCACTTGCAGTCAAAGCCTGAAGCTCAAAGAATGAAGTCCTAATGCTTCAGTTTTAAAGCTTAACAGTGGATGGGGGAGAGGACAAGGACAATCAGGACCTGACCAGCTCCTGCCCAGAAATTTCAGATTACACAGAGACAGTATCTCAGCTAAGGCAAGCCCTTCCTTCTTTAACTACGAAATTGTCTGGTGAGAAGCATCTTAAGTAATTTTACATCATTCCTCTTTCTGTTTTTATCTTGATTCAAACATATTAACTGAAAAAGAAAAAATAAATCTCTATTTCAGACGACAAACCAGTTTCTGGCTTAGAGGTTATGGAAGGTACATGAACACATTCTTCCTAAGCTCCCCTAGTGATCCCCACACTTTTCTTCACCTGCAAACACCTTGTAAATGAGCTTACCACTGCTGTGAGGTTAATGACCCACCCCTCACTCTGGTAAATGCTTCATGCAGATCCACAGAGCTAGACCATGTCATAGTGAATCCTCAAACCAAACCCACTACCGAGTCTGCATTTCTGCTCTCCTCTGTTTCCTTCTCTCTGAAGAAGACGTCACCACCTGCCCCATTACTCAAGCCAGAAGCAAAAAGGCCTTCCTTCTCTCCTCCTCCCTTCATCTTACCTCCCTCTACCCCCGAGAACCATGACTAAACGTCGCCAACTCTTGCTGCTTCCTCACTTACTCTCCTCGCTCTGTCCCCGTTGATTGCCGGAGTTCAGCCTGCATCACCTTTCATCTAAACTTGGAAGTAGCCACTTAACTGTCTCTTGCACTCTAATCTCACTTCCTCTAATTCATTCTCCAAGTGCCACCAAAGTGACAGTGATCTTTAACAGCTAAGTGAGATCATGTAACTCTCCTTCTTAAAATCCTTCAAAGACTTTCTACAGTTTATTGGGAAAAAAGAGCAAATTTCTTAAAGTCACCTAGAAGACTCTAAATTATCTAGCCTAGCAGTTGTCCTGACCTTAAAATTCTTACAAATCTCTGACTCTTCCTTGTGGTTTCATAACTCCCTTCCTTTGCTTTTACTGGATTCCTTTGTCTCCTGTCCCCAACCTCCCACCCTAACAAATACCTGTTCATTTGCTAGGACTCATTCCAGACACCCCGTTTTCTGGGGACTCTATCATACCAGACTCCTAAAAGGAGACCAGCCATGATTCCTTTGTATCTTCCCTCTGAACTTCACACAAA